GTGAGGATTTTCCGAGCTGACTGGATCATCTTCTCGTGTTTTTCTCAGGTGAAAACGGCGTCTTAAGTCTTAACTATTCCTGCGTTGCAGAGCAGATATGGCTTCGGCTGAGCCGTCAGCACTTTCGATCGAGTTAGTGTTTTGGGCTACTCGGTTGGATTCGATCCATTTGGGTTGTGGGCTGGACGTGATGCTTGTGTTGCCTTACAATATATCTGGTTTGAGAAGAATTGCAAAGAGAGAAAAAGAAAAAAAAATTTTTATTTGGTTATAAAAAAAGTGAGAGGGTGGGGAGGAAAAAAATTTTGTTCGACTTTATTTTTTTAATTTATTTATTTATCCAAATATATAGGAGGAAAATGAGGGGAGTGGAAGGATATAATTCTCCTCCCTTCCCTACCTTTCAACCTAAATTTAAGGTTAAATTATACTCTTCTCATTCAATTTTATAGGATATTTGCTTTAGTTTTTTTTACAAATAGTTAACATGTGTTAACTCTAATAAAATGGATTAAATAATTTGAATTATAAATAACAACAATTATCAGTCATCAAATATAATTATCAACAATCAACTATATTTAAACAATTAAACGAAACAATTCCTTAATCAATAGGAAGCACTCTTATTTCAATAGTGATTAATTAAAAATTAATAAAAAATTAATTAATTAACTATTATATTTTTACTTTATTAAAAAAAATCATCTAAAATTGAACAGAGGTTTACAGAGGAAAGACAAGATCAAGAATCTCAAGAAATGAGGAAGTTCCATGGGATTAAAGTAAAAAGGGGAAATTACATTTTACTTGTATGAGTCATATTCGGCTTGAGATTTAAAATGTTACACATACCCCTTATGTTTTGCTTTATTAGTACTAAACTACTATATGTCTTATAGGTAAAAACTTACTTTTAACCTTTTACCTTAATAGATTTGTAGGTTTTAACCCCTCACTTTATACTATAATACTTTTAACCCCTCACTTATTAGAATTGAAGAAAATAACCCTCACTTTACAATGTTTCGTTAATTTTGTTAGCTAACTGTTAACTCTGTTAGCTAATTATTAGTTGACAAAAACTTATTTTCAGATAATAAAATTAACAGTCAGTTAATAGAATTAACAAAATGTCATTAATTGAAGGTTATTTTCTTTAATTATAATAAGTAAAATGTTAAAAGTGTCATACTATAAGATAAAATACTAAACCTACAAATTGATTAAAATAAAGAACAAAAAATAGAGTTTTGTCCTGTCTTATAAGCAATGTTTGTCTTAGTTTTATATAAATAGTTACCAATTTTTTATTCTAATAAAATAAAATAGATATTTTAAATTATAAATAATTATTATTATCAATTATTATATATCTATTATTAATTAAAAATTGTATTAAAAAAACTAATTCAAATAACTTAATAACCTATTAGAATGATGCATGATATAAATCACGAAATCAACACCATTAAGCATACCCATAACTCAATAACGGCCCTCAAACCCCATTTCATTGACTAAGTCAGCCTCGAGTACAGTTCAATCAAAGAGAAGTCAGGCTCGATCAAGTTCCCAGTGCACCATTTGACTTGGGATGGGAGACAGGAGGAAGAGGGAAAAAACTATTGCTAAGAAGGGTGTAATTGGAATTCAAGAAACTCTTAAGTGAGTACAATGCAATATTCCCAAAAGTATAATTTATGCACGTGGGTCGTGGTCCTTTATCACTGATTACCATTTTAACCCGTTATTATTAATACTAAAAAGTAAAGAAGGTGCTATTGGATAATTATTTTATTTATTTTTTTATAATTTGATATATTATTAAAATGATTAATTTTTTTAATTTATGTAAAATTTACGATATTAAATATATTTATTTTTTTTTTTTTAATTTCCCACCGGGTATATGAGGTTTCATTCCGAATAATTCGGACCGGACCCGTGTCGCGCCCCTAGAAATAATGGGTGAGTCTTCCAACGAGGGCTGCTGCGTACAAGATCTAGAACTCGAGACCTTATTTAAGTTAGAACAAACCGCTTACCACTTGAACCAACCGCTCGTTGGTAATATATCTATTTATTTAATAATATATAAAACTTATACAAAAATATAAAACGAAAATATTATCTCAATAACACTATCCAAAAAGTAAAAGATAAAAGTATTTTGCACTGCAGACATAATCTACGATTAAATAAAAAATATTAATAACTATTTAATTAAAAAGAGTTCTCAATGTTAAAAGAAACACTTGAATAATCCGTTTTTGATTTAATGATATAAATTTTAAGTTAAAAGTGTTAATTTTTTATAGATAATATATTTGAATCCAACGAAAACTTTTTTTCATTTTCTTTAATTAATATGTGAATAATTTTAATTTGTTCAAAAAATATATTAAAAAAAACACTCATTTAATAATTAATTATTATAATTAGATATACTTTTAAGTTGCAAAACACTGAATTCTTAAAAAAATCCCTATCTAATTTTCGGAAGCAACGTTGATTCTAACGTTTACTCTTTGCGTAGTCAACGTTAGGACAAAATGGTAAATCGACGATGCCCTCGTTTCTTCCAATACAGGTTCCAGTGTTGAGTGTTCCCCTCTCGCGGGTTCAGTTGTTCTTTGGTGATCGGACGGTGAGAAGAGAGAAAATGGAGAAATCACAGCGGTTGAAGATGGTGGCAGTGGGTCTGTTGTGCTGGGCGTGGGTGGTGCCATGCAACGGTGCCGAGTCGCCACAGTACTCGGTGGTGCACTCTGAATCGGATTTCGAGATCAGGCTCTACCGAGACTCCACCTGGATGTCTGCTCGAGTTCTTGATCTCTCCTTCCAGAGAGCCACCTTGTATGGTTTCCACAGGTATATCTCTCGAATTCGGCAATAATCATTTTGTTTGGTAGCTTTCAATGGATTTCAGTATAAAGGATCGATTTTTCTCGCAGATTGTTTCAGTTCACCGAAGGAGCCAACCTGAATTTCTCTCGGCTTCCGCTGACGGTTCCTGTGGTGACAAGTGTGGTCCCGGGAGCAGGGCCGCTTCACTCTTCAGCCTATTACGTCCGACTTTACTTGACATCGAAGTTTGAGGACAGCCCGCCGGTTCCCCTCCCTGAACTGGACCTGGAACCCTATACATGGGACAGTCACTGTGTTGCCGTCAGGAAGTTCTCCGGATTTGCTACTGATGATACTGTATTGAAGGAGGCAGAGAAACTGGCCACCAGCTTGAGCAAGACCCCATGGGCAAACTCTACTTCTGACAGTGACTATGCCTACTCCATTGCTCAGTATGATTCTCCATTACGCTTCATTGGCCGGGTTAACGAGGTCTGGGTTGATGTCAATGCACCTGAATTGGCTGGTTGTATATCCAGTAAAATCGCTTCATCTTGAACTGAAAGTACTGCAGAAGGTATTGGTGTTGAAGCCTTGAAGGGAATGATGTATCTTATGTTTCCCTATGTACATGTATATTGAAATGAAAAAATCTATGTAAACAGATGGGTCTGTATGTTTGTCTCAGAGATATATCATAATGATATAATGTGTGATTATACAAAACAGCTTTTCCAAATATCACCTCTAACCTAAAAGAATGAATGAATCTAAGTACATAATAATAATACCAACGAGACTAGACTTGCAACAATCTACTCTGCCTTGCATTAATGAGGTCTTTGTTTTGAATGAATAAAAGACGGCAAAGGCACTTCAGCAGGGAAACCCTTCTTCCCAGGTATTGGCAGCTTGTTCTGGCTGCAAAAAATCAGGGATAGCAGAAGGAGAAATAGAACAGAAAGGAAAACTGGAGATGACAGGATCTTAATGCTTTCTAGAGTTGCGATGGTGACATGAGTTTTGGTAGTAACTAGCCATAGGTACTCTCCTTCAATTAGTGCAGCTCCTAATGTCCACGAAAGATCCCCAGGACCAAATACTATCTCTGCGTTGCCTAGGCACAGAGAATTCTCCAGAAGTGATGCCACATAAGGGAGCCTGAAACAATATTGTCCAGCATATATTTGCTTTTCAGATACGCTGCTTGAGTCAGTCCATGATCTTGAACATAATTGCTCACCTGTCTCCCAAATTTCAGTAAGACTGGCTCTTGGACTCAAATTTAGCATGTTTTGAATTACAAAAAACCCAGATAAAGCATGAAAGTGTCTACTGTGATGGGCAATTTCAGTCAGATTAAGCATGTTGCCACCTGCAAAATACAGATGGAAAGCCATATGAGAACAAACAGGAATGAATGAATGAATTCTTACACTTCTTTCAAGGACAATGAAAGAATAAGCTGTATTGGCTTGGTGACAAAGAGAAGAACAATACTTAGAGGCTGTGTTGAAAATTTATATTTCCTGAAACAAGCAGTTCTGTTTATATCATTGTGGATGGCCGG